GACAAAAAACTGCAAAACTAAGTACTATAATAGCCTTGATGACCCTCATGAATTTTATAATTATAGGTCACAGACCCCATTCAAAGCCCCCTTCAAAATTTGACTTAAATGTCCACAATTTTATTCAACAAAAAATGTCTTAAGTACAATTCAAGGCAAGGTACAATTCAACTTAAGTGCTTTATTGTGAAAACTAAAGAATTCTTTTAAAAATGTTCAACAATTCGCAATTTATATTTCATATATGTAGATCTGTCTTGTGTTAGATTTAGTCATCCAAAGACTTATGCCCGAATTCAGAAAGTAGAAAACAATTTTTAAAATTTTGTATGAAAACTACTCAGTTTTTGTTAGTGTTTTTCATATAAAATTTTAAATATTGTTTTACATTCTTCTTTCCGAATACGGGCCTTAAAATGGATCTCATACTTTAAGTTTGTTTTTTATTACAATAAGCTTTTAAAGCACTTGAATTACAATTCTAATATATATTATAAATCTCTTTGTAAGTCTGTTCGTTTGTTTATTTGTTTGTTCGTCAATCACGCCTAAACGGCTGGACCGATTGTCTTCAAATTTGGAACATAGTTAGATCTATACTTGGAGAGTGTTATAGGAACTTGGACTAGGAGGGTGCAAAAAGGGGGTAAAATGGGTAAAAAACGAGCAAAATTATTACTTTTGATAGTAAATACTGATTTTGTCTATCCTTAAGCAAAGGCATTTTCGATTAAACTACTTTATTTGTTAGAAATATATAATAGCAAAGAGACGTTGTGAAAATTGGACCGGAATGGGACAAAAAATAGGCCAAATGGCGAAAATCTGACAAAATTAGTACTTTTGTACTTTAAGAAAAAAAAGGTGAAAAAACGGGTAAGAAAGGGAAATCTGTATTTGCTGCGTAAAGGGACTCAATAAATGCATATTTTCAGACAATTCAAACTACCTCAATGAATAAATAAAACAAATGAATAAACAAGTAAAACTTTATAGTTGGGCATGGCCGACCATATGATGCCCTACACCAGTGATTATGTTATAAATGTTGATTATTTTAAATTACTTTTTTTAATTCAGAAATATTTTAAAAATTTATTGACAAAAAAGGGATTTTCTAAAAGAGGGTTTTATGGGGGTAGGTGGTAATTGGGACTATCCTTATAAATTTTTGTAATGGGATTTACGTCTATAATAAAGTTCTTTATGTTAAATTAAATTAAATTTTGGTAAAGGGATTTACGTCTACAATAAAGTTATTTGTGTAGAATATCGCTGTAATATTAGTGTTTATATGTGAATTTGAACCATCAAGTCATTTTATGAAGGGGACTTTATATGAGGGATGTGATCAAATGAGGACCGATCATTGCGAAAATCAGCAGTGTAATTAAAACTTATATAAAACTAAGTTTTGCCGATTTTTGGTGTGACACAAGAACATTTAACATATTTATGAGCTCAAAACCCATATTTAGGGGTGCGATTGTAGAAGGACTATGCGAAATAAAGGTCCGATTTAAACCATTTTCAATAGAATTCGTCCTTGAAAGACGATTTTCTTTAAATTTGAAACATAGTTAGGTATATAAGTGTATGGTGTGATAGGCTACATTGTTTTCCAAAACTTGGGTAAAAAGAAGGAAAAAGAAATTCAAACTAAATGGGCAAAAACGGCTAATTATGTGTTCCTTTGCTGCATTTTTTGTACTTATATGAAATTTGAGAAATATATATTTTTTTATTAATATTTTTCCGTAATCGGTCAAAAAATGTGTTTTTCACAAATGTTTACAAAACATCATTAAAGATGGAAAGGTTCCTCTCTGACGTGATTATCTTAATAAATGTTCTACAACATCGATTTCTGAAATGATACAACATATATATTAAACAAAATACATAAATTTGAATAATTCAATGGAGAAAGAGGGTATGGGTAGTATTTTTGATACTGTGTTGGTACCTTTTATAAATATTGTTCAAATTCAATTAAATTTATTTTAAAGCTTTTAAAGATTACAAAGAAATTGTAAGGAGTTTCTTCATAAGGAGACCTGCAACATTTTTCGAAACATGAAGAAGTTAGTGAAAAATTATCACTTTATGCTTTAAGTCAAGAATTATTCTTTCTCCTATGTTAAATATGTATATTATAGTTTTACCTAACAAGATAGTATTAAAATTATAATTTTGAAATCTTTTAGCTTTATAAATTGGCAAAAATATATATATGTATATATATATATACAGTGGTGGCCATGAGGTTAGCACATTTGGTATCTGTTAAATATAAAATCAAATATTTCCTATAGTTCTTAACTTTTTTAACAAATTCTTTTTTATGCGTAACACATGTCCTTCGAGGATCACGACACATTACATTTTGTTCCACTACTTTGTTGCATGTAGATTTTTTTCTTTCCAAAGTACATCTACCCCCAAAAAAATCTGGACATAAGTTTAGCACAAAATTAAAAAATCATTAAAATATTAAAAATAAAACAAAACAACCGGTTATATTTATCTTATTGCACTTAAGATTTTATATTTTGTGGAATAGTTGCAGATTTTGATAATATCATTCCTCCTCCTGGACATAATCTTCACCAGAACCCTCTAGAAATTTCAGCCCATAAATTGGCAAAATTCTTGGTGATTTCTGCTTTTATTTGTTGGTCCATATTATGTTATATGTTCTCTATTGAATTGGAATCGAGAAAATATACTGGGCACTGCAAACATGACAATCCCGGTCGCTTCCAAGCAGCTCATCTCAGCACTTTTAGCATATTTACGGTCGATGTCGACCAAAAAACGCCATCTTTGTCCTCCGATTTTTTTAATAAAGTATTTAAGATCCTATTTTGATAGTCATACGGATCCACTTCTGCATCCAACATCAATATAGGACCAACAGCATGCCAAGAAAATGCAATGAATACCATGAAATTTCCCCCCATTGTGATATATGATTTCTCTGGAACACTTTAGCTTTATCTGCATGATTGGAGGATACTAGTTGAAGATTAATAGGATCAAATTTGATGGAAAAATGTAATTATGCTGTACTCCAAACATGCAGCAACAACCAAAGTGTACATTTAAAACCATAAAACACAATGGGTGAAATATGACGAATTCGGAGGCGTTTTCCGGGCTAGTGGAGGTTCTATACGCAAGGTGGACGCACAAATGGATCAGTATGACTATCAAAATAGACTCTTAAATATTTTAGTAAAAAAATGAGTGGACAAAAGTTCAGTTAAATGGCGTTTTTTGGTCGACAATGACCCAAAATATGTTAAAAGTACAGAGAGGAGCTTCTTGGAAGCGAGCGAGATTGACATGTTTGCAGCCCCCAGAATAATTTCTAGATCCCAATCCAATAGGGAACATATTAAACGAAATGGTGCAACAAATAAAACACAAATTCCTAAGAATTTTGCCTATTTATGGGCTGAAAGTTAAAATTTATGTCATGAAATTTCTAGTGGGTTCTGGTGAAGATTATGTCCAGGAGAAGAAATGATATTATCAAAATGTGCAACTATTCTACAAAATATAAAATTTTAAGTGAAATTACATAAAATTATCCAGTTTCTTTGCTTTATTTTTAATTTTTTAATGATTTTTTTATTTTGTGCTAAACTTATGTCCAGATTTTTTTTGGGGTAGATGTACTTTGGAAAGAAAGAAATCTATCTGCAACAAAGTAGTGGAACAAAATGTAATGTGTCGTGATCCTCGAAGGACATGTGTTACGCATAAAAAAGAATTTGTTAAAAAAGTTAAGAACTATAGGAAATATTTGATTTTATATTTAACAGATACCAAATGTGCTAACCTCATGGCCACCACTGTATATATATATATATATATATATATATATATATATATATATATATATATATATATATATATATATATATATATATATATATATATATATATATATATATATATATATATATATATCGCGTATATCCGTCTCCGAGCCCCCGTCTTTCGTTATCCTACTTCCGAGGTAGGAGAAGCTGTCGACGTCTTCAATGATCTGCCCTTCTATAGTAAGCGGGTTTGCATTTGTCGTGCCTATTCTCATAAGCTTGGTCTTTCCAATGTTTATTTTCAGACCAACATTAGCGGCATTTTCCTTCAGGCGTTCCAGCTTGGATTTTATATGTACAAAGCTGTGCGCAAAAAAACAGATGTCGTCGGCATACTCAATATCGCCAAGGAAATCGTTGACGCTTCAGCGAATGCCATAAGGTGCCTGATTATTTGTTGTTTCCAAAGCGGAGTCCAGCAGAATTAGGAAGAGGGTGGGCGATAGGATACAACCTTGTTTCACACCTTTGTGGGTCCCAAAGGGAAGGCTTTCCCTTCCGTTAAAGCGAACTGAAATTTAAGGATCCATGCACAGCTCACTGATCAGTGTGACAATTTTCGTGGGTATACCTTTGTTTATAAGAGCAGACCACATAGCGTCCCGAGAGACAGTGTCGAAAGCTCGCTCAAAATCTATGAATAGTAGATATAGGTGTGTGTTAAGCTCCACTGACTGTTCAATGATTATGCGCAAGGTGTTAATGTGGTCGGCACAAGATCGCCCTGGACGGAAACCAGCTTGTTCCTTGCGTAAAATGGAGTCAAGCGCAGGGGAGATGCGTTGGAGTAGTAAACTTGCCATTACTTTGCTAATGGCATTTAGTAATGTTATTCCCCGCCAGTTTTTGCAATGAGTGAGGTCCCCTTTTTTTTGGGATTGTTATCATTATCCCCTCTTTCCATTCAGTGGGGAAGGAGTTCGAATCCCAGGCTTCCCTAATAATAGGCGTTAAGGCTCGGGCGATAGGCTCTGATCCATACCTGAGCAATTCCGCGGGGATGTTATCCGGACCGGCCGCTTTGCCATTCTTAAGCGACTTCAGCACTGATACAATCTCGTCGCAGGAAGGTGGATTCGTAGATATATCCCTTCTCGGATTGCGGCGTACTGCCTGGGTTGCAGTGAACGACTGTATCCCGCATGTTGCTGATCCTCCATTACTAAAAAATTGTCCCAGCGGTCTAATTGATGTTCTGGGTCTGTCAATTCAGCTCCGTTTTCATCTTTAATTGTCGCCGTAGGTCTTATGTTATTGCCACTCATCAGCCTTATGGTCTCGTAAACACCACGTAGATTTCCAGTGTTCACAGCAGTTTCAGCTTGTTCGGCTAGCTTATCAAAGTAATTACATTTATCCCTGCGAACTAACTGTTTGACCAGTGTGGCAGAAGCGCGGTAATTACTTCTGGCTACATCCTTTGCCACGTTTGAACCTGCCCGTAGGAGAGCGTTGCGTAGTTGTTTGCGGTGTTTTATTTCCTCCAGAGCTTCACTGCTTATCAACGGTCTTGGGCACCGGTTTACAAAGCCTATAACGGCGGTAGCTGTTTCCGTGCATGCTGTTGTTATATCGGACCAAGTGTGTATGTTACTACTTTGTAACCTTTCGGTTAAAGCCAACCTATATGCGTGTGCAGTTTCTGGATTCTGCAGTTGTTGCAGGTTAAACTTTGTGCGCTTTGATCGACCTCTATTTACGACCGCTGGGCGAAACCGTAGTGTATCAACTAGTAGCATGTGGTCGCTGTCGATGTCGGCACCGCGTCTAGTTCTCACATCCATTAGAGAGCCCAAGAAAAATTTGCTTACAAGCACATGGTCGATTTGGTTACGCGTGCGTCCATCTGGTGATTCCCATGTGTATTTGTGGATATTTCTATGTAAAAATTTTGTGCCACCAATAAAGAGACGGTTTCTAGCACCGAAATCAACCAGCCTATCGCCGTTGTCATTTCTTGTCTCGCCAAGACCTTGCGAGCCCATTACCGAGGATAGATTATCGTTATTATTGCCCACTTTAGCATTGAAATCGCCTAAGATAAGCTTAATGTCCCCTTTCGGCAGAGACCGAACGATCGAATCAAGTTGGGAGTAGAATTGATCCTTTGCCGCATCGTCATCGGGTTCAGTTGGGGCATAACACTGGACTATAGATATCCTGCGAAATTTGGAGTTAAATCTTACTGTTATGAAGCGCTCGGATATGGTATTATATGACAGAAGTGCACTTTTTGCCCTTGGTGATAGCAGAAGACCGACCCCATTTATCCGGTGTACTGCATTTCCCGAGAAGATAAAATAGTAGCCCCTCTGAAGGTCTATTGTCCCTGTTTGTGGCCATCGTACTTCACTTAACCCAAGTGTGTCAAGGCTGTAGTTTGACATCTCGTTTTGGACTTGATTAAGTCTCGATGGTTCTGAGAGAGTTCTTACGTTCCATGTTCCAATCATAAACCGGGTTCTGAATACATAGGTCGTCATCGGAGGGTTTTCAGTTCTTATATAGCTTGTTAATGTTTCTGTAATCTGGGTTTTTAAAGATGAATGGCTGATTGGGCCATCGCATCCGCACCTAGTAACTGGGGCTGCCAGCAACCCTCTAGGTTAGGGTTTGCCGATGGTAAATCTTTTGAAGACCTTTGGACGCCACCGTCGGCCATTCACTTGGCTCATCCGCTGCCATCCCTATTGCACGGTCCCATCACAATCGTGCAAGGAGAAACACTCCATGTTGAGGTGCCGCAGGTATTTACACCATGCTGCGCATAGGGTTATACCGCCCACGATCGGTCGTCAGAGCCTCGTTAGCGTGACAGAGGACACCAAGTCTCAGGTGGACAGTGGGTGATGTTGACGGTTGAAGAGGATTGGCTATGTGAACAAATTGTGACATTTGTATTCGCATCACTCTCCCATTTGACCTCCGAAGTAATCTCTTACTGAGGGGTAAAATGAGTAACATTTTTTATTTCGGAAATACATACTATGTTATATTATTTAAGTCAACGAAATTTTTATATTTCTGAATGTTGAAAAATTTCAGAAATTGATCTATGGACATAAAGCAGATTTTTTAGTTTACTCTGACGGGGGAATACTTAAGTATAATGTTATGAAACCACTTAAAACCCCGGGCAACGCCGGGTACAAAAATCTAGTTATAGATAAGAAGGGATATGCTAACTACAATAGAAATTTCATCAAAATTTCTTTTTAGCCGAAAACGCGGTGTTTCTTGAGTTACAACATTAATCGGTAGCTAACAATAATGCTAAAAGTTCAATCATGTATATGAAATTTATTTCCAAACTTTATATAGATTTTCATTTTAACGGTTTTTATATTATTTACTCATTTAAATTCAGAAATGGAAGCAGAAGATAATTATAAACAAGCAGTTATTGGCTAACCACAAAAATATTTGCATCAAAGTTTCTCGTGTGTTTTTCTTTTAAGAAAAACTTGTGAAGCACACCCTTCCCGCTAATTAAAATTAATAAAATTATATTCTTTTAGGTTGCTATTAATGAGGTCTATAGCAAAATCTACAAGCCGTTTGAAAAAATACAACCATTTTGGATTTAATGCAATTTTAAAAAAATGCATTCGAATATATACATAAATAAATTAACACCTCATAATTTTTAATCTACCAAATGTAAATGCATAATTTTTTAGTTATTGATTGTAAATTAACGTATTTATTCATCATGTTAAATAGTCTACAAAAAAAATGTGTACTTAGTTTTATAATAAAATATTTTTTGAAGAGGTTGAAAAATTCTTAAAAAGCGATTTATCCACGAATATTTAAAATATTTGGGTTAAATTAATTTTAATTTTGGGTCATTCGTTGTAGGTTATATCCACGCTTATATTTTTGAGTTTTAAACTGTTAACTTTAAACCGCTATAACTTTGGCGGCTTTTGCTAAAAATTATTCACGAGAAGATAATTGTACTTCTAAGATGTTAGACAATGTCCACACAAAATATCGTTGATGTGCTATTAAACAAATTTCATATTTTTTTTTTGAACCCCAAAATCTAAATTAAAAACAGAATTTCCCATATGTATACATATTTATTTTCTTTAATAAATGATCCAATACATTTCAATAGTTCACTTCACAAGAATAAAAAATTGAAAAAAAAAGTATTATCAGGAACAGCATCGAGTCGCGAGTTCTGATTATTTAAAATGGACATTACATAAAAGTTATTTATTTTATAAGTACAATACCTTGTAATAGATAGTACGAAGGGGCATTCATTATCTTAATATTTTTCATTTTTATGTAAAGAAATTGTGTTGCTACAAAAATATTTATACACAATAGCCTACATAGTTCCCGGTATCTTAACATAAACTCTAAACAACTCTAACAAATACAATCACTATGCTATGTAGACATCATACCTATGTATGTATGTATGTACATATCGTCACCTGAAATGCAAAAGGGCGTAACAACACTTAAAAATTTTACAGGTGAGACAAACAACTAAATAAAATGACAACTATTGTTGCTATATGCCAACATAAATAAACACGTTTAAATATGACTGTACCGCCAAACATTATCTACTATGTTACTTTTTAGGACTTTCTGACTTGTGGAAATGACTAATTTGTTGTTACACCTTTTGAATTTCATGTTAATAAAGTCGGAATTTTTGACAATACATAGAGTTGTAATGTATTTTGAAAAAGTCGATTTTAAATATTTTGGTTGTTACGCCTTTTTGCATTTCAGATGATGATATTAGTATGTAGCATGTAGTCCTTGTTTATCCTTTGAAATATTCATAGTATGCCACATTTTTGCCTTCAATTTAACAAACCCAGTATTTCATTGTTGTTTTATTCAGTGCATGTTTTGTTTTATTCTTGTTGTATATTTTTCAATATTTTTATTCCCCTTAGGATTGATTTTGTCGCCGGTGCACCGCGGTTTATTTATAAATGTTTTCAGTAACATCTCTATTTTATCATTGTTTTGAATTTTTAGTACGAAAAACTGCACAGTCTTATTTACCGTTTAAATAATTCCAAGTAGAAACATAAAGTAGGTTTATTTTTTTAAACGACTAGATATTTTTGATTTAAATGGTTTATAAATAATATTTCCCACAAAATTGTTTCTTATTAGCAAATGTTTAATTTTACCTTAATAGTTGTGAAAATTTTGTATTATTTAAATAAATAATCTTAAAAAAAGGTAACATATTGTATATTTCAATAATCGATTACTTTTTTAAGAGTCAGATTTTTAGAACACTAATGCAGTAACTAACTGATTTAACATTGTTTTAAATCAAGTACCGCCATTTTTATGCCATTTGCGATTTGTAACCATTTTAATTTCTCCATGCTCCACGTTGTTTGTGCAAACAAAATTAAAATCAACAAAAATCCCGAAAATAGGATAAATGTTGTTTATATATATGAATGTATGTTTGTAGAGTAGAGTTGGCTAATATATTTTTAAAACTCCACAACTTTCAATCTTAAAATACCAGTGCTACAACTGCTGCAAATGGCACTACACAATTACTTTCCATGTTTGTAAGTAGCTGCATTAGCATTGCCCCTTTTGCTGAAGTAATACTTATTTAGAACTTTTAACTTTTGATACTTTTTTGAGAGAAGTCGCTAATATAAATAAAGTCCAGTACTATATTGCTTTTATTATGAGTTTATTATGTTTTTAAATATGTCAAATGAGTTTGCCAAATTTCGTTTTACCGCTTCTCAAAAAAAAATATTTCCATTTTCGTAAAAATGATTCCAATGGGACCAGGTCCATTCAAAACAATGCCTATTTCTTATGTAAAATTCAAATTTAGGGCCAAAATTATGAAATCTCAAAGTCGATATCAAATTACGGTAACGCATTTTAGAATTTCGAAAAATTACGACAACAGCTCTCCATTTTTTGGATTTTTCAAAACTAAATTCAGAATTTCTTTTTATTTTTACATTTTCAATTGAAAATTCTGTATAACTTTAAAATTTCATTGAAAAAATCAACAAAATATGCAAAATTTTTTAAAAAAGTCTTCTATGATCTTCTTAATGCTAAAACATTTATAAATTTCTAAAAACTAAACTTAATTTCCAATCCTTTGATATATAAAACGTATTCCATGTACATATGTTTCACATGTAAAATTATGGAGGAAATATTTAACAATACTGGGGAGCCTTAAAGTCCGTAAAATATATTTGCTAACTGTTTACTAATCAGATGTAAGCAAAATAAATTGAAAAATCTGCAAAAGTAGAAATTTAAATATAATATATATTTCCTAAAATTTTTAAGTACGATTCTATGTATGTTGGGAATCAGTGGTGAAAGTGGTTGGAGCTCCAATACTTATACAAAAATTCTACTAATACATTCTTTGAGTTAGGTACCGAAGTTGTTTTCTTGGCCAACAATTCAAATGCCAATTTCAGCGAAATCGAAATCAAATTTCAATAAAAGTAACTAGATAACTTTAAGTTTAAATTAAGAAAACACAAATTCATTTGGGAATTTCCACCGAAAAGTATATTTTTTGTCACATCGCATTACGCACATTAATTGACAATAATCTTAGAACCTCTTTATCCTGTGAATAGAGCATTTTGAGCTCTACATAAAAATATAAACAATTTAAAAATATATTTTTATACTCTACACCACTTTATTGGGTTTGTGCTGATGTTTGTAACATACAAAAATATTCTGA